GGGCACCCAGCCCACCTCGTGCCCCCCTCCCCCGTCCTCCCACCACCGGCCATCATTAGCATAAACAAACGCCTCATTTACACAGACTGCACAGAGGTTGACATCTGGTCTACCCACTGTCATGAAAGGACTTAAAGAACATCGAGCTTTTCATCAGGGAAACTTCGTGGGGAAGATGCACCTCCCTCTCCTCATGCTCTCAGAAGAAGGAGCACGGTGACAGTGGAAACAGCAGGGAACCCTCTCCCTTCCGGGAATAATTTTCTTTGTTTATAACTGAGCTACACTAAAAAAATAGCCTCTACTGGGCACTGTTGCTGAGACAGTCACCTAGAGTGACATGTTTAGATGACACTCGTAGGTGTCAGTGATCGTGGCGACCTGCTTAAGTGACTTGTAGGTGACAGGTATGCAGGTGACATGCTCAGGTGACAGCTCCGTAAAGGAACAGGCTCAGGGGACACATGTAGCTGGCAGCTTCCCAGGTGATGTAATAAGATAATGATGATATGGTTGATACAGAGTTGGAAATATGCAGGTAACTGCCCCATATGTGATATATGCAGATGTGTTTATGTGACAGCAACACAGGTGACATGTTTAGGCAACGACACTGATGACATGCTCAGGTGACAGTAACATAAATAGTGCAGGTGACACGTGTAGGTGACACACTACAGGTGGTACAGAGACAGCTCAGGGGACACCTGGACTGGTGCTTTCTGAAGAAGGTAACTTCCCATTTCTGCTGCGTTCCCTTGCTCCGCAAAAGATCTTGCCTTCCCCCATTGGCCTAAGTCACAGTTCTTGGGCCCCACCTTTGATAATCTGCCCAGTATAGTCAGTGACCAAGTCCTGGTGTTCCAGTTCCTAAATATATCCGCAACTATTCACTTTCCTCTCTCTCAGCTGCCGCTTTTCCTCACCTGGAATACACAGGTGGGTAGTTAACTACTTCTTCGGCCCCTGCTAATTCTCTGCTCATCCCTTTCTCCAGGAACCAGGATCTTTTCAAATGCAAATGAGATCAACAGTACTGCCCTACCAAGATCCCTTTCAAGTCTTCTCTGCTCTTAAAATAAAGACCAGAAACCCTGTCTTGGCCAATAAGGCCAGAGTACTTGGCTCCTGCCGCATCTCCAGCCACAGCCTTCCCCTTCCTCCAGCGGCAATGGAATCTTTCCATTCCCTTCATGAGCCAAGCGTCCCTCCGTGCTGGAAACCAGGCGCAGCCCCCACCCCACCACAGCCGACTCCAGTTCCCATCTGCAGATCCAACAGCTTCCAGGTCACAGCTTTGATTTGGACCAATCGCTTCATCCCAGCACGTGCCGTCAGCATTATCCTTCTAAAGTGCATCAAGCAGCCCAGAGACTCCCTTTCCCCAGCTGTGAGTGGCATTGATCTGCACGCTGGATAGAAGGCCTTGCGCAGATAGCAGGGCCCCAAGGGGGCCGGCGGGGGAGGAGACCAACTCTCAACAGCAATGGGCTGTGATCAATAAACTATTAATAACTGCAAAGGTTTCTGGGGAGATCAGTGTAATGCAGTTTAGCGGCTGGAGTTTACCAACACTGACAGCAGCTCTGAAAGGCAAGTAATTATGGTTTTGAAAAGCTGGGCGCAGAGATAGTGGAAGTCCCGTTGGCTGTCCCTGTGGCCCCTGTGGCTCAGGTGAGGCCATGCAAGGGCCGGTCACTAGGGTTTCTGCCAGGCCTGAGGTCAGGTCTATAGGCTGTCCACATTTAGCACAAGTAGGTAGGCCTACTGGGTGCTAAGCCCCACGCTGAGCCTTGGTGGATGGGGTGGATCTAGGAAGGCGAAGGATTTGGATCCTGCCTCCGTGCCTTTGCCCACACTGTTACCTCCAGTTGGACCACTCTGCCCATCATGTCCACATGGCAGGCCTCTACACCCACCTTGCAAAGTTGGGCAGTTGAGTCTCACTTTCCCCATCTGTGATCACACCCCTCAGACAGTTGAGAAAATGACGTGGGATAATTCAAAGGCTTAGCACTGGGCTGGTATGCCGTGAGAGTCCAGTGGACCAGAATCACTAGAAACAGCGCAATCTGTAGGCTCTACATTCAGATGCCACCCAGACCAAGCAGGATATCCTGACTGCCCACCCCCTGTGCAGACGGAGTTCCTCTCCACCTCCCCAGGGCTGCTTCTGTCTCAGGGCACCTACTCGTCCACATCATGATACACTGTTACTAATTTGTCTTCCCTCCCAGGGAAGTATTATGAGCTCCTTGAGCCTGGCCACATGGTAGGTGCTTAGGGAACATCCATTGCATGAATGAGGGTTGTGGAATCAGCCCAGGCCAGGAGTCAGGTGCCCTGGGCTCTGCACCTGACTAGCTGTGTGAGGTTGGATAAGGGCACTGGCTTCTCTGAGCTTTGTTTTCTCTATCTGATAAATGGGTATTATAAAACCTGCCTCGTGGGATTACAGCCTTTGGGGGAAGAACTGATATTTATAGAAATGTATAATGAGGCATTATGCTAAGCATTTTACCCTATCTCACTGAATCCTTGACATTATCCTGTTATAATGCAGCCTGTACAACATGCTCTAATATGTGCTGCATAGCAATAAGAATATTATAGCCCCCACTGTATAGATGTGGGAACTAAGGCACCCCAAGAAAAAGTAACATGACCGAGGAGGCCACAGAGGGAGCAGGTGGGTGCCCTGGTTCAAACACAAGCCCTGTGGACGTCAGAGCCTAAGAATTCTCTTTGGACCCGATCCCCACACCGCTCCTCAGATGTTCCTTTACCA